TGCCGTTTTTCATTGTACTGAAATTATGTTTCTACTCAGTGTATAAGCTAGTACGATAAATGGAAAACGGTATCAGTTTCTGGTGAAGTTGAACATATTCGGAGTAATTTCTCAATATTGTTTTTTTTTTTGTTTATAAAACAATACCCTTTCACGTAGTGCAAACTTTTCCAATCCACTCTGACTCATATTCTTTATTTTATTATTTCCTAGATCGACAAATTCTGTTCGGAGAAGTTGATCGTAATTATGATTTGGTGTCAGGTAACACGATATATCTCTAGAGACGTCGAAAATGGCAAAGCTCCGTTTCCAATATTGGATTTATTATTGGAGATTGGGAGGGATTGCCGCGGTTTCCATGATGTAAAGAGAAACCTGCTCTCTTTCTCAAATATATATTGCCGGAAGTTAAATCCACACTGGCGCAATCAAATATTCATGTGGTCATTGAATTCTGGATAAGAAGGATGGTGCATGCTGCACTCGAGTCGAAGAGAGATTCATTGGAAGTTGGAAGTTTAAAATCTTCCGTTTGGAATTGTCTAGTAATTTGTCGACAAGAGAAAAGTTGATAAATTGAAAATTGATGGATTTAGAGCGCAAGATTTTTGTTCCGCTTCACGTCACGCGGTAATTTCTGATTGCGACAATCACAGTTCATGTTTTTTTTATGTTCTGGTTCCCACGAGAAGGGATATACTGTAATGTTCAGAGAACATCGTGAGAACCTAGGGAAATAAGGTAGGAATTGGTGTTCGCCTCAAATTTCTGGAGGTTATATGCCTCGGGGAAAACCTCCCTTGGCAATGTGTTCTAGAGCGTCACTGTTCGTTGGATAGAGCCAGATCGCCAACTTTTCTACGGTGTTCCAGAGAAGTGAGTGAGTTTGTGAGCGAGGCATCACCCACGAGACGAATTGCCCTTTTTCGGATAGAATACAACAGTTTCAGGGTATGTTTGGGTGCTGCACTCCAAATATGGAAACAGTTTTCCAGGACAGGTCGGATCTGTGCCTTATAGATCATAAGCAGCTGACTGGAAGTGAAATAGTTCCTGGCCAAAATAGAAAATCAAGTTTTAGGGATTCGCTTTCAGCAATTAATCTCACGTGATTTTCCGTAGAAAGGTTAATGCTGTTAGAATTACCAAGCATCGAAATGGATGTCTTCAATAAAGGTATGGTTATTCCTGACAAGCTCATGTTGGGCATAGTGAGATCGGCTTTTCTAGAGAAGAGGCATGCTTGTGTTTTGTTTGCATTGAAATCTACCAAGTTATTGGATCCCATTCGAAAATTGTTGCCAAGTCCTTATTTATGTTGTCAACATTTCTCCCCTGTTCGTTTCTGATTTACCTGGCTGGTATTGGTAGTATTGGTACTATCATCCACGAAGTTGTGTACTGGACATGAAGTTGCTTCCAACAAATCGTTGATATGGAGTAGAAATATAGTGTTGGTGCTAGAATTGATCCTTGCGGAACACCAGCATTTATGATAAGAGAGTCAGATGAAACTTCGTCGATCACTACATGGAGAGACCTGTTTGAGAGAAAACTAGCTATAGCAGAGAACATAGCTGTAGAGGCAAGCCATAAGATGGAAGCTAGGCGAGGAGTCCGTATAATATCTTGAATATTTTTGAAAGCATTTTTATTATTCAGTAAAATATTACACATGCATTTTCAAGTTATGATACTAGTTGTATTTTTCATATTTTTTCGTAAATTTTCGATATAATCGGAAAGAGGGATATAGGTCTATATGTATAGTTAGAAGCTTCATTTCTGACGTCTTCTTCCTTGAAAATTGGAATCACATCAGTTGCAACTTTTATTACCTCTGCTGGAAGGAGAAGTCATCATGAGAAATGTTTGTGAAAAATATTATCTAAACTGTTGGTTTTCCTGGTGTTTTGAAATATAGTTTGCCTAAAATTACAAGTCAGATAATATCAAATTTGATCATAATGAGTACAGTACAGTATTCAGAATATAGGACCTTTCCATTTCATCGTATAATTCTAGTTATATATTATTTATTTTTCTAATCACCATCGTTCAATGTTCAAGTTTCATCATCCGTTTATGTCGGTAAGTAGTGGCCAGTCAACAGACACCTGTAATCCTCTTATATAGATAGTAATGGATCCGATTACGCTTTGGAGATTTATGCCGTTCAAAGGATTTGGATTTAACATCAATTATTAATTAAGTATAAGGAATCAATCGTTGATGATATCGAAAGTAGAGGAGATCTCTAAATATATAAAAGCTTACAGAAGCAATATAGGAGATATTTTATTTTAGGTACACATACACTGTTTTACCACTAACCAAACCGATTTTTTACACATCGGCACGTGTTTCGCTAACTATGTTAGCATCTTCAGGATTTTACAATGATGGTGATGAAACATAATGTAGGCCAAACCAGGCGTTCCATAAAAACAAGGTTCAAAGAACACTTAGCACATTTGATATATGGTAGGTTAGATAAAAGGTGTGTAGCCATATGTTCAATCACAATCATAACACACATATTAATAACATCAAAGTTGATAATGTTAGAAAATTAGATGCATATGAAAGCTTAGAGATATTTAAGAGCAGTGATAGAGTAATGAATAAGGATAATGGACCTATTCCATATAGCCCTCTGATGTGCTATTTGCACTTTTGTATATTTTTTATATTGAAATAAACTCTTTTACGTTTATTTATATCAGTTTTTATTTTGAAAAACTCTATATGAATTTTTTCTTGAACTTGTTTATAACAACATAACAATTAGATGCATTTTGTTCTTTCACTTGAACGTTCCAACACACTTTATATTTTTCATGCTTCAGTGAAATATGACATATCATATTTCATTCAGAGTTGCCAACTTGTCACTCATTAGTAGATATGATATTACTTAGATGTTTATAATTACCAACCTCGAAACGAAATTAGAACTTCTATATCTAGTACAACACCCTCTGTATAGTTTAGTAATATAACAGGTGAATTCAACCATGAATAACATAAACTTGGCGGTTATTGTCTATTCACGGTTGGGTGGACATATACTTAGCATATAAGTAGCCCACTAGAATAGAGCATTTTGTTTTAATCTTCTCCTGCAGATGCTAACATAGTTAGCGAAACACGTGTCGAGGTTTGGTTAGTGGTAAACTGGTAAAACAGTGTGTAGTGTATTATCGTGCCAAAGGTTCCAGTCTTCGATATACTTAACATAATATATTGTATACCCGATATAAAGGCTGATGGATGATGAGGAATACGTAACAACCCATTGGTATGTTTGTACTGAAAAAAAAACTGAAAGGTTAACCATTTTATAATAATCGAAACAATACTTCCTATGTTCGGACAAATTATACTTACCTATACCGATGCTCATCTACCTCAATGATAGAATGGGATAACTATACCACAAAGACACTGTAGATTCACGCCAGCTATGCAGATCACAAATCTGGATTACTGATGGTTGAATAGCAGTTAACAGACACCTGCCAAGCAATCCTAATATACTGAGGTAACGAACCTCTAGAAGCTGTTTGATATATCTGGAGTTAGCTGCATTAAGTCAGTACAACTACATCAGCGCAGCGGAATGACATGAGATACAGATACAATCGAAACCAGTGCACTATATACGAAAGCAAAAAGCGACTTGAACCCTGGAACCATGACAAGGGGAGGTAGGACGAGGAATTTTAGTATGAGCAAGGTGTTACTGTCAGACGACCATGTTCCGGTTGGTGGTGGATGAAAATGCGTCTGGAAATTTGAAGAGAGCCTTGGACTTGGTCTTGGTCTCTATCTCTGAAGTCAAGTCTTGGTCTTGGGAAGATTTATTAAGTCTTGGTGTTGGTCTTGGTCTTGTATAATCAAGACCAAGACAAGACCAAGACTGGACTCTTGGTCTCGCGAAGCCCTATTAATAACTATCTACCCAGTGATGATTGGTAAAGGGAACGAAGTATGGAAGCCAAGAATTCTTGACTTGTGGAAGATTTCTCCATACTCTAGGTCGCTCTAGGTGGTTGGAATATCAGAAGGTTCATGATGAACAATACATGGAAGTTAGGGAAACTAATTAGGAAGAAGACTGATTTCCAATAAATTAACCAATCTTCACCGTATGTGTCTTTATACATGTCCTTGTAAGAATATGTTATGTTCTAGTAATTACGTTTCGTGAATCATAGTTTCTGTCGAAAACAAAAATCCGGTGCGGGAATTGCTTGAAGTCGGCCGTTCTGGCGCCTACAATTACGTCATTGTTCTGATTAATGAAACAAATCATATACTTACAGTATATGAGGCCAATTACCTTTAACTCAATTGTTATTTCCGATTCGCCCAAGATGACGACTTTGATGGTCTTATTGTTCATCGTTGTTTTTCTATACGTTTGATTGGATAAGACCGCACCAGCACTTGATGCTGAGTAATATTGAAAATATTGAAATAAATTTCTCAAGATTATGAAGTACTGTGATGAATAATAATTTTTCCAAAACATGGTTATATACAGTCTAAACGAAAAACTCAATCAATTTTCAGTGACAACTTAGCTTTGAACGTCTCGGTAACGAATTTGCTCCCGTTGTCAACATTCATGAAAATATAAACTAGTTGTTTGACTGATGGTCTTCTGATTTTTGTGTGGATACTTCTCATCAGTTGAATTTTTAAACGCATCAGCAGTAACATTTTGGGGCAACGAGGAGATAGAATCCCAAAAAATCTGATAAAAATAATGTTCGATTAACATTATTCATTCATCAGTAGCTATTGATATACGAATATCAAATTATAGCTTGAGTAAAGTAGGTATAGGTATAGTAATTACCTGAAGTTCATGCATTTTTCATCTCACTGACAAAACGTTGGATATAAGTTGGATATAAACACGCTGTTGCGTCCTTCAAATAAGCAAAATAGGGTAGGTACCTATACCAAAAAAAAAACTGACCACTCACCTTCCCTTCCCTTAGGCGTAACGACAGTAAAAGCGCTACTGCCAGGAGGACTTCTCCGTCCGCAGTCAACATTCACTTCGGGGCTACCAGAAGTCTCCCTATGGGACCCACTGCTGAAGTCCAGCGGCATGGCTGGATGCGATCCCAGCTCCAGAGCCATAATCAGACCTCAAAAAGTCTCAGGTCGACCGAAACATGGGTTATACTAACACGACAGACACTATCAAACCATTTGTTTGATCCCGACGACTAGATTTATCTGCGGATATCGAGCACCCATCCGTGTTTGCCAAGATTCAACCGGGAGTCAACTGTTTGATAGCAAAGCACACTGGATGATAAGCTCGGCTAAGTGCGCGGAGGGTGTAGCCGGGCTTTGAGCGATGCGCGATTTTGGTTCTTATGCGTGGAGAGGATAAGGAACGGGGGCGGTGCGAGTGGCGCTAGCACCGCCTCCCAAATACGATTGAATTAATGAATGGAACTGTAAACAGTTTATCCGTGGATTTCGACTCTAATCGGGACTTCGATTAAGAGGCCATATGCCACTCGAAATTATTCGAATGTTATCAGTTTTCTGTCTTATCCCTTCCCCGTCGAAAGGGGCGGGATCAACCTGAAGAATTCGTAGAAAGCTGGACTCGGTATGTTCATCGAGCGGCACGTCGAGGACACCGAACATAAAGTAGCGCGACACCGTCTTGATTACTTTTTGCCGCTCACTGACAACCGGTTGATTATTCATCGAAGACAGTCAAATGGTCTCATAATTACTAATATTTTGAACTTTTGTCAGTACCTATTCGAATTTTGGCGCTGGTGATTAGATATTTTGGACATTTTTGATAATTGACCAATAGGTATAGGTATGATGATTATGTTATCTACAGGATATTTTCGAAATTAGAGCGATACATACCAAATAAGGAATGTTATTTTTTTTTCGCTGGGAGCGCACGGAAGGGAATCCTTATCTATGGAGGATAGGGAGAGGAGGTAGGTATTGGATTTTTTTTATAACTTTTGGAGAACATGCCTAAGTACTTGGAAACATACTGAAGAAGCTAACAAAGCTACTTTCGATGTGCAACATGAAACACATCTCATAATTTTAGGCTCATTTTAGGCTAAATTATTACCCCATTCCCGAATTTTCTGCTCCTCTCTATCATAGAAAAGTCTGTGGCTTTGCTAGCTTCGGCCGAACTCAGCAAAGCCTGAAAAGGAATATTCTCAGATAAATTATGAACATACACAAATGGATATATATTTATATAAAGCAATACATTGAGAATTCGCATTCTCTATGTGATGAGAATATCTACTCATTTTCAGTTTATTCAATAGAAAACAACTACTTTCCTGGCTATATGCCACGACGAACATTGAATTATAATATATATTGAACACACACGATAAGAGTTTTAAAATGAAATATAAAATCTTCTGAAATTGAGAATTTGCAATTTTGTCAGCAAAGCCTATTTTTAAAAACAATATTTTTTGATGATCTGATATAATGAAAATGCAGTGCTCATTTTAGGCTTATTTAATTCCCTATGCCAAAATTTTCACGCACCTATCTATCAGAGAAATCTGTAGCTTAGAAAACATTGATTTTTCACCGATTCAATATATTGAGATTCAATGGCTTATTTTAGGCTAATTAATTACCCCATTTTCGAATTTTTTGCTCAACGTTTCAGAGATAAAAAATACACGACGATTTGTCGAAATACGCGTCATCCACTGTAGGTACATTAGGTATTTCTATCAAAAGCATATTTTATAACAATTTCATATGGCAAAGTGTTAGTATTAATTGTAAACTCGATAAATATCCCATTCTGGAATTTTTTGCTACATATTTCTCAAAAGAAACGTATGTTGCAAAAACACGAAACGATTCGTCGATATATGCGTTATTCACTATAATACATCATGCATTTCTATCAGAAGCATATTGTATAAGGCTAAGTGTTAGATTGTTGTCTCAATAACTATTCCATTTTAATAAATAACGAATCGTTTCGTGTTTTTTTTTGTTCGAAACGTTGCGCAAAATATTCGAAAATATAGGGTAATTAATTAGCCTGAAGTTGCCTCTCAATATCCATATATCAAATCAGTGAAAAATATATTAATTTTCAAAAATGGTTGTTGAGGTGTAACGCAGCTTTTCGCAAGAAACGAAAATCCAAGTTTTTGTGGAGCAGATTTCGCGCCAATGGATCTGACCTGATTATGATTATCCTTAGAAAGACTTTTGCTGATTGAAATACCGAGCATATATAGTTATTTATAGTGGACTTTGTGGGAATGGTGGCATCAGACATAGTTATATCAGGCACTAGCTCACCTGGCAAACTTTGTATTGCATTAAACATTATTTCTAAAAAATATGTTTTCAGTTAAATATGTATCAACACAATTTTTCTATTTTATTTCCTACTTCTATTTAGTTTGGCTGTCCATAAAAGCGTGTTTCAGTAGTTTTTCAAACTTCTATACATTATTTTTTAGATCCTTCGAATTCATTGGAAAGCAAAAAACGCATACCTATACCTACTACCAAAAGGATATTCCATCTCGGATTCTATCTATAGATATATTCCATATAATTATCATTATCTAGGATATTCATCTGTGAATGAGTGAATCAGTATTTCATTCATTTTCTTCAAAATATTATGGAAAATGTAAAATGTCTTATAAATCTTGGAGTACTTTTTCGCAATCCTCACCTATTCTAATTCCAATTCTGCAAATGTTCATTCTCCCTAAACCAACGATGCTGCATTGATTAGGTATTTTTGGATATATAATTATCTAATTAACAAACCGTCTGAGAGATTTCATCTCGGATTTCATCTATATATTCCATTTAATTATATATTATTATCTAGGACATTCCTCTGTGGAATGAGTATTGATCAATATTCCATTAACTTTTTTCAAAATAATATGGAAAATGTAAAATGTCTTATAAATCTTTTTCGCTCATCTCACCTGTTCTATAAAAATGGCGGTATGACGAAGCAACCGTGTTTTTTGTTGGCTCAACTTTGCATAAAAAAAATTTAGTCTATAAATAGTAAAATTCACCCTGATCCATTAAATAATTTTATCATGTCCCTGATATCTATATCCATTTGTTGGACTATAGGTAAATATATCGTTTAGAACATTCCAGCACTTCCCTGTGTTCGAAGAAATAGAAAAAATATATTATATGACTATAGATACAACACAGTTGCTTTGTTGATTCCATCATGATACCTATGTTTATTATACATCAGGTATAAGTCTTGTAGGTTTATTGAACGAAATATAAATAGGTTCGTATCATGAAAAGACAAATTGGATCGCAGACTATTTCGTGAAAATAATGAATATCATACTTCATCATAGTACCATTGACTATCAATAAGGCATTTGAACTTTATGGGAGGAGCTTATTTTTGGCAAGTGCCGCGCCCACAGGGAAAATTCTTCTTCACGGTGCCTCCGCTCCCAATTTCCCATGCGAAAACCAAATAAGATTTCAGTAAATAAAAATTATTTTTGGAGAGTACTACATCTGATCTGTGCATCTTATCGAGTAGTTTTTTCATTTTTGATTCCATAACGAAGAAAAAAATTCACAAAATCGGTCAAAAACGCACTACTTCACAGGTGTTTATAAATTAGTGTATGTAAAAAAATGAAAATCCATTCGATAAGATGCATCGATTGCACCTTTGACTACCCAGGAAAAAAAAATTTAGCCTCTAGCATGATCCATAACCATAGGGGAACTTGGGAGCGGTACCTCGTTTATTGGCGGAGGCGCTGCGGAATATGCCCTCTTAAATGTGATTTGGAAAAGAAACCATCGGAAGAGAGGTGATGGTTGTGTAATCATGTCAGCTGTGGAGAATGTGTATGGACGAGAGTTCTTGATCAATCCTAGCCTATTTTCTTATTTATGACGATCTGATGGTCACTGGAACAACTATAGATAGTACCAAACTATAACTTCCTTTCTGGGAAATTTTGAAAGTTCATCCAAGCAATGAGAAATATTGAACTTTAAGCCATTGGCCATGCATACGATTATGCCATAATGCACCCTTTCTGAGTTCTCACTGAACATGAAAGTCGGTACCTAGAAGAAATATATCAGTCCATAGCCCATGATGCAGATGCCTTTGACATGAGAATATAGAATATGGAACCGCTTTTTTGGACCAAAACAATCCTATTGCTCAATGTCATTGACTAATCGTAAGTATATAAATATAGATATTGGTAGTTTCTGCAATGTTGATTAAGAGAATTCGAACAACTATCTCTTTGATGATGGCTGAGAAAATTGAATTTTAGAAGAAGGAAGTTTAATGATAAAAAAAACAGAATATATCTTGAATTCAGAGTAGGTACTTATTTATTGGTTGAAAAAGAAATAACTTAAACATTTTAAATCGTTATAGCACTCCCAAATGCCTCGATCGATCCCAGTTTTTGCTCACTTCTTCAACCATTAGTTTTTCAAAACCCCATTCGATCACAACTCAGAATCAGAACTTACAAACGTATATTCAACAAAGAAAACGCATCACGACGCACGAGTTAACAGACCGACTGGACTGACTTAATTCTGATAGCTGTGATACCAATTTGCTTCCAATCTTGTTCGTTTGTACCTACTCGAGACACATTCGCGTCAGTGATTGTTATTCATTTCACCTATATAAGAGTAATTCGATAACAAGTTACGGTAATATGATTAAAATTCACTCGCGTCTGCGTTAATTATCATATAGGTTCAGACATTATTGTCATTTCAAGAAGACCACATTTCAGAATTTCAGAGCACTGCCAAGTATAGAGAGAAATCAAAATGGAATACACGTTTGAAGAATATACACAGATATGCATTTTATCTATGGTGAAACCAGTGGGAATTCAAGAGCCGCTGCTGAATTATATCGGAATAGATTTAAAAAAAGAAATCATCCACATTTCATGACTTTTACAGATGTCCATCGATGATTAAGGGAAACTGGGTCTTCCAAATTCAATAAAAACAATATTTGTGGGGCAAGGAGAACGATAAGAGATAACCATACCGAGGAGGAAATTCTTGACCGATTACCAGAAAATCCTTCTACCAGTACC